TATATTACTGCCTAGTCCTTCTGTTAGTTGACAGTATTGTCAAGTGCCTGAAGAGATTCCTTGGGAACTAGAGGTCTCAGGATCAAATACACTGTGTTCTCATGTTCTCCCACATGAGTATATTTAGCGATGAAATCAGCTTGAAATGAACAGTAAGAACAACCTTAAAGGGGAGATGATGTCATCACCCAGCAGTTGTATCCCTTCATTTCGGTGATGGGGTTTGTCATGTGCTCACTGTGTGCAAATGTCTCAGGGCTTTAAAAGGAAGTATATTTTTTTCATGGTAAACATAGGCACAAAAAGGAGTAGAAAACAAAAAATTGCTTGTATGACTACCACTCCAATATAATAACTATTAGCACATTTAGTTTTTACAAATCTGTCAAAATATTGAAAAAATATTTTTATTTTTTCTACTCGAGAATCATAATGGAAGTGTTTTTAATGTTATAACATAATCTTGATAAATATATACTTAATTACAGTGTAGTACATAATATTTTACTAAAAGGATTTAGCGTAAGTTATTTAACCAGTCATCCAGTGGTTATTTTCAGTTTTTAAACTTGTTTCCAGATTCCCCTTTGCTAATTTAAATAATGCTTGCTGATGTATCATTTTGCATAGAACCTTTGCTGCTTTATATTTGTTAAGATAGATTTTTAAGAGTTGAATTTAGGGCCCAAGGTATATTTAGGGTCAAAGTATACTCTCACAAGACATTTTTTAGTAGGGGGCAAAGAACTTTCTCCTAATAAAAACCCAATCAGATCTCTTATATCTGGTGCCTGAAGGTTGTTCTGAGAAGCTATATGTTAGGAATGCCAACAGGGCATATAAGACCTATATATGGAAGTTGCATTCCATTACTGATAATAACCCCCACTGTTACTAAGAGAAAATGTTGACCTTTGATGCTCTTCTGATGCACTAGAGAAGTTTAACAAAAAACAACATATTTTCAACTTGATAAATTCTTTAAGGGATAAAAGAGAAACTAGCATTTGTTGAGTGTCTTCTTGGTCCAGGGCAGTGTTTCCATTTATATATATATTATTGTTGTGTGGTAGGGACCCCTCCCTAAGGAGAGAGAAAAAGAGGAGAGAAGACTTCAAGGTCACCTAGATACGCACCTAGGTGCCTACATCCCCCATGACCTTGTAAACTGAGGACAACTTAATCAGACTGCATGTTTCTGTGTGTTACCATATGTGGGAGACAAAGAAATAGAAAATGTATTTAAAAAAAACTATGCCAGATGATGTGGGCCACTCAGTTCTTTAAGTACAAACCCAACTGAGTGATGCTGGCATGAATAAAGTTGCTTCCTGGAAAGAAAAGCCTTGGTGTCACGACTCTCTGTGCAAGAATCCTGCTACCATTGGAGTTACATGGTAGGGTTTGCCTCAATTTACCCCACATTTTTTTTTTTCACTCTATATTTGTGGTTGATAGAATATAGTATCAGAGACCTGAGTATAACAGCGATACAGATTTTAGCCATGTTACTGGTAAAACTGGATTAAAAGATGTGAAACACCTCAAATTTCCTTCCAAATCTTTGTAATACCTAGGTCTGTCTGTCATTTATTTACTTGCTTCCAAGTGAGAAACTGGAGTTGAGAAAGCAGGCCCTCTTGTTCTGCTTGTTGAAAGATTAAAAACACAGGAGGTAACTGCGTAAGAGAACAGGAGAGCCCCAGAAGACAAAAGGCAGTCTCCACATGGCAATGCAGTGGCTTGCCTTTTAGTTATTTTGGACCAAAGGAGAACTGCCTTTCTATAAACTAATCCGGTCACCCACTCCTCCTGTCCTGACAAGGGGGCGGTATAGAAAACATGTGCCTTCATGGAAATATGACAAACGGAACTAGCATCTGGATCCTTTACCTTCCCAAATTATTGCAAGTAGTCTTCAAAAGAATATTATAAAGATTATAATCCTCTTTGTAGGTAAGGAAACTGAAGTTGAGATATGTTAAACAATTCTCAAGTTCACATAGCCAGATGGTAAGTGAGCCCACATTCAAACCCAGACCCCAAGGCCCACATTCTTTTCATTGCGCTGTTGAGCACTATTGTCTTCATGAGGCTTACCACACCCCTCTCCCATTCCTATTTTAATAGAGACTTTTTAGAGACATATGTCTTACCACGGAGAAGTAACTCTCATGGTGGGAATTTCAGACGTCTTGGTAGACCAGACAGAATTGAGGTTTGGGCAGTTTGGTCTTTGACATTTCTCAAATGATGAATCTATCTGTAAATTTTGGAACAGCTATAGCAATCACAACTCTATGTAAGGAGACTTCCTGATTGCTCTTACACCTGGGTAATTTCCCATGGATTGCTTATGCATCTAATATGTGAGTAGATGAGATATATTCTCCTTTAGACAAAGAGCAGGCTTGCTTTCTGGTTGTTGTACAAGCAGTGCATTCCCTAAGCTAAGTGTTCTTCAGATGCAACATAAGCCCACTAGAGCACAGCATCCTTTTGAACATGTTGTATTATTATATTGTGTGATATTGCATAAAAGTAGCCATATATATCACTGAAGTAGAATTGAGAGTCCAGAAATAAACTCATAATTTATGATCAATTGGTTTTCAATGAAGGTGCCAAAACAGTTAAATAGGAAAGGAGCAGTCTTTTCAACAAGTGGGGCTGGGACATACAGCATACATCTACCCACATACAGTAGAGTGAAATTTGACTCCTACTCACACCATATACAAAAATGAACTCAGAATGAATCAAAGTCCTAAATGTAAGAGCTAAGTTACATATATAACTCTTAGAAGAAAATATAGGTATCAATTTTTGTGAGGTTATATTAGGGAATAGTCTCCTAGATATTTGGATATAATACCAGAAACAGAGACAACAAAAGAATAAAATAGATAAATTGGACTTCATAAAAATTAAAAAGTTTGAGTCTTATCAAGGAGATGAACAGGGGTGCCTAGATGGTTTAAGCGTTCTACTTTGATTTTGGCTCAGGTCATGATCTCGTGGTTGTGGGATTGAGCCTCACATTGGGCTCTGTGGTGAGCATGGAGCCTGCTTGAGATTTTCTCTCCCTTTGCTCTTTGCCCTCCCCTGCACGTGTGTGCACTTTCTCTGTCAAAAATAAATAAATAAGCTTAAAAAAAAAAAAGATCAACAGACATGCCATGGACCCTGCCCTTGGAGGTGTGGGAAGGGTGCTAGATGACGCCTCCTTACACCAGAGCTTGGAAGAGACTTTCTGCTGGCAAAGTGAGTTCAATGACTGAGATAAGGTACCCCACCTTGGGGCCTCATAACCCAATTCAGACTAATCTTCTCCGTGAAATAAATAAATTAGAAAGAAAGAAAGAAAGAAAGAAAGAAAGAAAGAAAGAAAGAAAGAGGGAAAGAAAGAGAGAAAGAAAACAGGCAACACCGGGAATGGGAGAAAATATTTGAAAAATATATATCTGATAAGGTTCTAGTGTCCAGAATATATATAAATAACTATTATAGCTCAACAATGAAATGACAACCCAACTAAAAAATGAGCAAAAAATATTACTCCAAAGAAGATCCAAAACTGGTCTGTAAGCACATAAAAAAATGCACATCATTAGCCATCAGGTCAATGCAAATAAAGTCAGAGATACAACTTCACATCCACCTGGATGGCTAAAACAAAAAATGACAGTAACAAGTATTGACAAGGATGTAGAGAAATCAGAACCCTCACTGCTGGTGGGAATGTAAAATAATGCAGCTACTTTGTAATGGTTCCTCAAAAGGTTAAAACATTACTATATAATCCCATAATTCCACTCTTGGATATATACCTTAAAGTGATGAAACCATATGTACATGCAAAAGCTTATACATAAGTGTTCATAGCAGCATTAATCACAGTAGCCCAAAGGGGAAACAACCCAAAAGTCTATCAACTGATGAATGGATAATAAAATGTGATATATTCATACAATGGAATATTTTGGGGCCATACAAAGAAATGAAGTTCTGATACTTGCTCTAACATGGATAAACATTGAGAACATTATGCCTAGTGAAAAGGTGTCCAACACAAAAGGGCACAAATTGTAGAATTCCATTTAGATGAAATGTTTACTGTAGGCAAATCCTTAGAAATGTAAGAAGCTGCCAGAGAGTAGTGGGGGAGCTACTTTTAAGGAGTATGGAGTTTCTTTTTGGGCTAATGAAAATGTTCTGGAACGACATAGTGGTGATGGATGCATAACTTTGTGAATTTGCTAAATATCACATAATTGTACAATTTAAAAGGATAAATTTTATGGAATGTGAATTTTATCTCAATTAAAAAACAAAACAACAATAAAGAAAAATGTGCTAAGCCACAGTCCAGAAACAGATGAGTTGGATAAATGGCAATTACATGACAGGCTTCTATTTTTTCTGCCTAGGAAAGGAAATTTGAAAGAGAGCTGAAAAATGAATTTATGAAAAAACTAATAAATTAGGTAATCTCTAATTAAGTAAGATGTAGTCATAGATATCTAGAAAAATATAAATTATCTGAAATGGCCCAAGAAGAGGTAGATATGTTTGCACTGATTAGTATGTAGGAAATTGTTGTAGGTTAACCTCAAGCATGGTTAAATACTAACATGCTATTTCTGCTTCTGTAAATCCGCTTGGCAAGCTTGTACTTCCCTGTTCTGGCTGACCACACCCACACCCTGTATGTAAGGTTACAGAACACCACATCACCATTCTACCCTGGTAGTCTACCACATAGTCACTACCTCACAGCTTCTCAAATGTCGAATTATGGTTGGTCATTTCAAGACAAAGAACCTAAAATTGATAGGTCTCTGCCAAAACTAACACCTGAGTGTCACAATGCAATGGGTTCCCATAGTATGCTGTAGAATATAATTGGTTAAATAAATAATGACATATTCTGTCTTACTGAGATCCATAGAAGCTCACTGCTACCTTTGTTCTGAGCCATTCTCTGCATTTCTCCATGAGATCAGGTTTGGCCCGGCCGTAAATAAAATCTTGCCTCGCTTCTGTTGGTTGTTTGGTGGTCTCTTTGACAATCACCCTGTTTCAGAAATGGGAAAGGTTTTTAGAGATAATCATAAAAAGTCACCAGGTCCAGATTGTTTCACATCTGAATTCAAGCTACCTTTCAAAGGACATATAATTCCTCTATTATTGACTATTTCAGACCACAGAGTTTTTAATACAATTAAAAACTAGTTCATGTGTGCATGCAAAATAACCACAATTAATTTTTTCAAAGACAACCTTAATGCTGAATACTAGTAAGAATCAAACAAAATGGGTATGAATATACATGAATGTGCATACAAATATCATAAAACACTAGCAAATTAAATTCAGCAATGTATTAGAGAATAATAAACCATCAACAAATGATTTTTTTGGTTTTCAGCATTGAGAGATAGGGTTTTTTAAAAAATGTTTATTTATTTTGAGAAAGAGAGAATGCAAGTGGGGGAGGAGCAGAGGGAGAGGGAGAGAGAATCCTAAAGAGGGGTCCACGCTGATGAACTATGAGATCATGAACTGAGCCAAAATCAAGAGTCAGACACTAGGTCAATTGAGCCACCCAGGAGCCCCGAGAGAAGGTATAATGTTAGGAAATCTATTAAGGTAAAACATTATCTTAGGTGATTAAAGAAACATCATGTGATTATATTAATGGATGTTTTTCACTTTTTGGTATTACTGACATATTTGGAGGGTATGTTTTAATTATTTCTCACCCCAGTTTGCAGATAGCTTCTGGACTACTCAAAACATTTTCCAATCCATAAACCTGTAGAGAGAAGACTCAGTAAAGGAAGAGTATGGAGAATCTTCTACAGTTTTTCTAAAAAAGCAGGTTGTAAAGGCCAGTTAAATCAAGCTCAAATTAGTTCAAATCAAGCTCATTATGTAGTACAGAATCATTATATGATATATGATGATTAAGATTGCTCTAATGACTAATGGAATAGACTTTGTGTCTTATTAAAATGCAAATGATCTTGGCGGGGTAATATATTCAGCTTCATTTGCCAGTTACAACAGAAGAGACTGTTAGGGAAGTGGAGAGGAGGAAAAATATATTGGATACTTAAGATGGGAAGAAAAGTACACCATCAAGAAGGCAAAAGTACGTTGGGAGATCAATTTTACCGACCTAATAACTTTGGCTTGTGGTGAGTCCTTAAGGTCTATGCTCCAATCACAGGGGCCTCACTGAGAAAGGGAAGGGTATATTCATAGGATGAACAGATAGGAGAGGAGTTAGCATTCAAGAAGTGTCTTCCATGGCCCCAGATTCTGAGAGCCATTTTAATAATAGCAAGCACCATGTTCACAATTTATAGATGAGGAAACTGAATTTCAGGGAGGTTATCATGCACAAGGCGACCCAGCTCTTGAAATGTTAAGCCAAATGTTGATCCCAAATTCATCTCTAAAGTCAGTATTGTTTCCATTGAAATAATTAAGGGAAAGAATAGTCTATGAAATAGTTTTTTTCAATAATGAGAATATGAGATGAGTATGGCATAAGCATATTAAACAAAGCATACAAATATTTCTTTAACTGATTTACTCAAAAGTTTAGTGAAATTCAGAAGCAGAAAATGTCCTTTTTGTCAAACACAAAGAGGAAACACAGCCAGTAGGGATTATTCTATTTCTCTAGTATATAAGTTTCATTAAGCATTGAAACCAGGCCAACCATCTGTCTCTCTTTGATAGCCAAGGTTGTACACAGTTAGTTTCCGAATATATATATGTATATCTCCTCTGTCTCTCTGGGCTTTAAGTGAATATAAAGGACACAGATATAACTCTCTGGTATGTCATTTAACAAATTGTGATTTTAATATTTCTCTGGTCGATTGAAAATTACATGTTTTGCATTAAAAATACTATGAAGATCCCTTCTTCAGGAAAGCCTGTCTTTGAAGGTCTTGAGGTGATTACTTACACAAGAGTTTCCAGATTGGGTTTGTAGTCTACTTTAAGGCAGAATAAAAAATAAACTAGTGAGTTTTTCTTCATTGAATTTGCTTAGCTTAAATGTCTACATAGCTTATTTTTCTCATATATTTAATTAGCAGTCTATATTGATAAGAAAATAAAACATACAGGGTTAACTGGGTGGCTTAGTCAGTTAAGCATCTGACTCTTGATTTCAGCTCAGATCATGACTTCATGTGGGTTTGTGGGTTTGAGCCCCGCATCAGGTTCTATGCTGAAAGGCCAGAGACTGCTTGGGATTCTCTTTCTCTCCCTCTCTTTCTGTCCCTCCCCTGCTCAATCTCTGTCTTTCTCTCAAAATAAATGAACTTAAGAAAAGGAAATAAAAATATATAATATTTAATATTTAACATATAGATTATATATATGAGTATATCAAACTATTTGTCTTAATTTTTTTCTGGTTTATCTTTGCAATGAAGTTTTAGAAATAGTTTTGGTTTCTTATATATATATAGATAATTTTTTAAAATACACAATTAAAAGATACTGTAAATAGATCCTCTGTTATACCATTTTGCATTCTCATCAGCAATTTGCTCAAAGCCTTACTAATAGAAGGTGTTGTTATACTTTGTTTACCAATCTGAGACTTAGAGGTAATATCCTAATTGCATTTTTCTTGTTATGAATCAGGTCCAGCATATTCCCATATGTTTAAGGGCCAATTGTATTTAATTTAGTTCACTTTTTCTATGCTGATTGTGTCTTTTTTAAAATTTTTAATAGATTAAAACAAATTTTTAATGTTTATTTTTTTTGAGAAAAAGATACAGAGGGTGAGCAAGATACAGAGGCAAAGAGAGAGGGAGACACAGAATCTGAAGCAGGCTCCAGGATCTGAGCTGTCAGCTTTAATCCATGAGTAATGAGGTCATGACCTGAGGCAAAATCAGAAGCTTAACTCACTGAGCCACCAAGGCACCCTTGCTCCTACACTGATTGTCTTTTGTCTATTTTCCTACTTGTTTGTTTCTTTGTTTCTTGTTCTTCAAATCTTTAAAAGGTAGGTTAAGTCCTTTGCTGGTGAAAAGTTACAAGCTTTTCCCCGTTTACTTACTTTCCATTGGCTGCACTTTTTTGGTCACAATTAAAAATTTGAGTAATGTACAGAGTGCTTGGCTGGTTCAGTCTATAGACTACGAGACTTAAAAAAATTTTTTTTAAATGTTTATTTATTTTTGAGAGTGAGAGAGAGAGAGAGAATGAACAGGGGAGGGACAGAGAGAGTGGGAGACACAGAATCCAAAGCAGGCTCTAGGCTCTGAGCTGTCAGCACAGAGCCAGCTGGTAGCAATGCTCAAACCCATGAACTGTGAGATGATGACCTGAGCCAAAGTTGTATGCTTAACTAACTGAGCCACTCTGGTGCCCCTAGACCATGTGACTTTTGATCTCAGGGCTGTGAGCTCAAGCCTCATGTTGGATATAGAGCTTACTTAAAAAAATAGGATAATGACAAAACCCGCCAATTTCCTTCTTGTAAATTGTTTCTAGATTTTTGAGTTAGTTTATTATTTCTAGATTTTTCCACTCCTAGGATATATAAAAATTCTTCTAGTCTTATACTGGTCTTCTCCCCAAAATTGTTTTATTTTTTTTTTTTTTACATTGATATGTTTGATCTATCTAGAGTTTATCTTTGTGGACTCAGTTTCTATTTTTCTGTATTTAGAAAGTGCAGTTAGTTCTACTCTAGTACTTGATTTGAAGACACAAGATGTTCCAATGTAACTGATATATTAGGGAACAGTGTGAATATAACACTAATTTTTGCTTTTCCTCATGAACAGTTTTGTGTATGGGAAATACTAAATGCACATAGAAAATTACCTAACCGATCTGAGTTACACTACTAAGGAGTACACAACGTGCATGCACACAAAACCCTCAACTACCAGCTACCCCAGTTGACCACATGTTTTATCCTTCAAGGCTGTGTTTTGCTATTACTTTACATATTTGTAAACTTAAAAAAAACTTTTAAATGTTTATTTATTTGGGTGTAGGGGGAGGGGGGCCGGAGAAACAGAGAGAGAGGGAGACATAGAATCCAAAGCAGGCTCTAGGCTCTTAGCTGTCAGCAAGCCAGGCTCAAACTCGTGAACCACAAAATCATGACCTGAGCTGAAGTTGGATGCTTAAGTGACTGAGCCACCCAGTTGCCCCTGTAAACTTTTTATGTTGGAAAAAAAAAACCCCACTTATTCCACATTTCAAATATGTCTAAGTATCATGGTTCAAAAATGTCAAGGAGTATGTAGAAGAGGAAAACTATAAAACCTGAGAGTAAAGATTTTCGAAGAAATGAGAAAGCATGTAATTCCTCTCAAGCAAAAGGCATTAAGGAATTTACATTGCAGACAATCAAGAGACTCCACAAATATGAAAGAAGCATCTATGGCTGGAACAACTTCAAGTGCTGTGAGATCAGCAAGAACAACATCTTAACAGAATGGAAGAAATGGAAAGACTGTGGAATATGGATTGAAGGCAAAACTATTGCCAACAACTTTTCTCACAATCAAAGAGAAAGCATAATCTATATATAAGGCCTTAAACAGACATTGCCAAATCCTGCAGAAGTGACTTCTTTTTTTGGGGACTGTTGGTTTGGTGATTTGAAACATGACTACAGTTTCAAAAGTCTTAAGCTGTCTGGGGAAGCTAAGAGAACAAAAAAGAAAGCCACAAAAGATTTTCCAGCATTGAAACAGACAGATGTCAATGAAGAAGTAGGCTATACAGTGCGTCATGTTGCAGTTTTGGTGAAACAAGTACCTATTAAAAATGAATGTCTTGAAGGACCTCCATCTCACAGGCAGAAAAACAGCCTATTTAAGTATTTAAGATGTGAAACATCACAAATTGTGATAATCCTCTTTCTATTACTTCATAGTGAGTCACAGGATGCAATCCTTCCCAAGTGCACTTCTACAAGTAAACTTCAGGTCTTTTTCCAGGTTGAGTGCCATTTTTATTACAGTATTTATAGATTTCTTAATCATTAAGCATGTGTAAAATTGTGCTGTATTTTAA